CGCTTGGTTCAGCGGGCGGATCTCCCTCCAGACGTTGCTCAGGGGGTCGTAGCAGAAGACGCGGTTGGAAGGTCTCTGCCTCCCGCCCATGCCCTCGCAGCCGGCCGCCACGAAGAGGTAGTTGAACATGCTGCACATGGCGCAACCCCGGGAGACCACCTCTGGGGGCACGTGGCAGAGGTGGTGCCAGCGGTCCCCTCCGTCGTCGTAGTAGCAGAGGCGGCTGGTGTGGAGGTCGGGCTCCTGCACGTCGATGTCGGCCACAACCACGTGCGTCTTCCCTCTCATCCTCCGCCGCAGGATGAGGTCTCGCTCACCGGCGTTGAGGTGGCCGTAGATGGAGGGGGTCCTCAGCACCTGCAGGTAGTTGTTGCTCATCACCTCGTAGGCAGCCTCTTGGAGGTGGCTGAGTTTCTGGGCTTTGGCTCTGCAGAGGACCTCGTAGCAGTTCCCCAGATCCACGTGGGTGGGTGGTGGGGTTTGAAAGAGGTCATTGCTGGCCAAGAGTCCAAGCCGTGGGCTTGTAGGAGGTGTGCTGACTGGTGCTGTGACCCCAAAACCCTTCATGGGCAGCTGGGGGTGGGGACTGTCAGTGACCTGGAGGATCTCCTTGCAGCCAGGAGATGGTGGCTCAGGGGAGACATCCAAGCTCTCTGCAGGTGATGTAACTATAGAAGAGGTGGTGAGACCTTGTGTTGCTGAAGCAGTATCCAGCTCCTGGGTTGCAAAGCTCTGCAGCTCCTCTTTGATCCTCTCTGGGTGGCGGTTCTGAGATGTTCCTGGAGGGATGTAGGGAAGAGACCTCTTCTTCGACACCGACTGGGAGATGGACTGGACGTAGTAGTCGTAGACTTTGCCTTTGAGGCCAGGGACTGGCTTCCCAGCCCCACCCTTCAGGTCAGAGATGTAGTTCTCCTCCACTTGGATCTTTGAGACCGAGGAGAAAGAGTAGGAGGCATCTGACCCCACGTCTCTCGCCGTCATCATTAGCCCCAGGTCCGAGGAGGCGGTCAGGGTCTGGATTGTCCCCCTGCTCCCCTTGGCCTCCAGGCTCATGCCTCCGATGGCCAAATCCTGCTGCGTGCTTTGGGTATGTCCATCAGGTGCCATCTGGGCAACAGCAAGCCCAGGGGGAGGCCCGGTGTCCGGGGCAAGCGTGTCCTCCTGCCCACAGCTGCTCACCCTTTCGGCTGTGTCCCCAGGGTCAGAATAGATCTGCTTCCTTCCTGCCTTGCTTCCTGCCTTGCTTCCTGGCCTACTTCTTGGCTCCTTTCCTGGTTCACTTCCTAGCTCATTTCCTGGCTCACTTCCTGGCATACTTGCCAGCTCACTTTCCTCCTCACTTCCCAGTTCACTTCCTTGCTCATTTGCCAGCACACTTCCCTGCTTGTTTCCCAGCTCACTTCCCAACTTGATTCCTGCCTTGTTTCCCAGTTTGTTTCCTGGTTCCCTTCCTGTCACACTTCCCGGCTCATTTCCCAGATCACTTTCCATCCTGATTCCCGCTTTGCTTCCAAACTTACTTCCCATCTCACTTCCCAGCTCGCTTCCTAGCTCACTCCCCTTCCCGGCCATCCCTTCTCTCCCACGAGTCACCTCTGCTTCAGAAACCATCTCCTCTCCTTCCCCCTCTTCCTCCTCCTCCTCCTCCTGACCCCTTGGCAGCCTTCGATGCCCCGGGGGAGGCGTGTGCCGTGCCCTAGGGACACTCACTTCTCCATCCCCACCATCCCTCCTCAACTCCTCACCGAGCACCCTCCTCCGGCGCAGACCCACGGCCCCATCCCCATCCCGGGCAGCGTTTTCCCTTTCCTCTCCCGTGCCAGCCAGAGGGATTTTGCCCTCGGCAAGCGAGCGGGACTTATAAAACCTGTATGCCCAAGCCAGGAGGAGCAGAGCGGCGGCGGAGAGGACCAGCTTGCCGGCCAGCTGCATGTCGGAATGCCAGGGCAGGGATGCCTGCTGGGGCATTTTTCCGTGCCCGGAATGTGGAGGAGGCGATTAATAATTGGCGAGCGAAGCCGGAGAGCGGAGCTGAAGGTTTGGGGCAAGGTGACTTTGAAAGGGCAAAGCTGGCAGGAGGTTTCCGGACGAGTTTTGCGTGTTTGGGCTGGGCTGGGCTCCGGGGAAAAGGTGCAGCCCAGAGTTGGCAGCACAGAGCTGGTTTTATTAGCCTGGTAAACAGAGACGCTCAGAGATCAGCGAAACCCAGAACAAAAGGAGGAAAAATATCACCGAGCAGCCCCGGTGGTGCTGCCTCCTCCTTTCTTTCGAAAAAAAAGGATTCTACAATGACAAGGGAAAAAGAAGTTGTTTTGCCCAGGAAAGGTGCCCCATGCCTGGCTGCAGGTGCAGGGAAGGGAGGGAGGGAGAAGCTGCCCGGTGCTGGGCAGACCTTTGGTCCGATGCTGAGCAGCTGCTCGGTGCCACGGGCGGGTGACTAATTTGGTGGCTTTCATTTGTGGCACGCCAGCTAACGAAGGGTGACAGGAAATAGCCCGAAACCTTCTGGGGTCTCTTTGAGGCCAGCTTGGAAGTGGCAGGGAAATTAAGAACTGGTGGAAAAAGAGCTGAGGGCTTTAGGAGAAGGGGGGGAAATATCCAGCATCGAAAAACATTTGGTGGAGTGAAACTGCAGCTGGTGGCCACTGTGTTTAGAGACCTGAATCCATAGGGAGAGGGATGAACTGAGGACGGGATACAAAAGTGCAGGGACCAGGGTGAAATTTGGGGATGGGAAGGGGTGGGAGAGATGTGAGTCGTTGATTCAAAGCGATGTGTTGCTTAATGTCTGTGGGGACTGGAGTCACCGTGGGGAAACTGAGGCACAGAGGATGCCAGACAGTCTCACACTCGCTTCTTTCTCCCTCTGGAAAGATGTTGGTGATGTGTCTGGTCCTGATCTGAATTTCAAAGATTGAGGGGAATTGCTGTCCCCGTTGTCCCTGAGGCAGCTGGGTCCCTGTGCCTGGACTGTGGTGGGGGGGTGAGGGAGAGGAGGGGGCCTGGGGAATGACATCCCTCCACAACCACTGCTAAGTGAGCTGAATTCAAAGGGATCAAATTAATTTCCTTTTCCCCAAGGGGAACATCTCACACGCTGAGAGATGCATAAAGAAGCGAGGCCCTACAAAGAAACAGCCAAAAATGTGAGTGAGGGGGTGGGGTGGTGGGTGGCTGCTCCTGTTTGTATGCAGGGACACACTCCCCGCTCGCTCAGTCCCAGTCTGGTGGGATTTGCCAGAGAAATGAACCCAGATGATGCTAAAATCAATGCCTTGTATGAGGTGTGGGTGTGATGGGTCCCAACTGCACGAGTCGTGGCATGTGTGGACGGAGGAGGTCTTGCCATGGGTCTTTAATGAGTGGTGGGTGCTCGTGAGCTCATGCCCAGGTCCCAGACCACCTCCTGTCCATCAGCTGAACTTCACCAGCCATTGTAGGAGCTCAGGCAATGCCTTTTGTGATGGGGACAAGCATCTGAACCTCCCTGGGGACATGTTCCCCACCATCACCAACATCTGCAAGCGCTGAGATGTCCCCTAACAAGGCTGAGATGCTGAATTTCACCCGACGGCTTCGCACCGGGACCGTGGTGGTACCAAAAGGGATGGGGGTGGTTGTATATCTGCCACTGGACTTGCTGGGGGTGCTGGTTAGGTGGAGGATCAGGTGGTAAATAGCATATTTTATATATATATAGGGAAAGGGGATGGAAAGGAAGCAGAAGGTTAAACTCCCCGTGTTGGCTTGGCAGTTGGAGACCCCCGTGCCCTGTGAACAGGGAGACACCACCAGTGGCTTTTAGGGGGTTGCTCAGGAAGTTGTCACCTCATAGGGGTGCAGCGTGGGGAAATGCAGCAGTGAAGAGGTTGGGGGGATGTTTAGAGATGGACTTCAAAGCAGGGCAAGCGCTGGTGTGGTGGATCCCTCAGATGCACCCGGGACCAAAGCAGCACCAGCCGAAACCCACCCAGCCGCTCTCCTCCACCCTATTTGGACCCAAAATCTGTCACTGGGGGGGCTTGGTCTGGACAAAACCTTGGAGACAGGGATATTCCTCCTGCTTGCAAACCCAGAGTGTCCTGAAGCTGAGGCTGGAGCTGGGGTAACAGGGACACGCATTGGGGCAGGACTTGGCTAATTGGGGAAGGGTCTGGCCACCCACGTGTGGCCATGACCCTTGGCTTTCTTCATCTCTTGTTGCTGCAGTTTTTCATCTGTTGGTAGATCTGCAAAACTCCTCATGTTCGTGAGCTGGGAAGGATGAATTATGCATGTGCTTGGCAGCCCAACCACGGCAGGAACTGTGCCTGGTGATGAGGTGAGGGAGGCAGGGGGAGCACCCAGCAAAGGCCACCATCCCTCCCACCAGCACTCCCAGCCCCATCGAGCTGCAGCATCCCTGGATTTGTGCCCTCCACCTTAATATCCCAAGGGGTTGGCCACTTAGATGTGCTGTGTCTTTGAGGGATGCAACGCTGGGCTACCAAACCCTGACTCTGGGCGCATGCCAGGATGAGCTTGGTTACCCATCCTCCTCCTGGGTGGGATTTATGGACCTTGGGAAGGTGACACCAGGAGCACGAGGGGGAAGTGAAGGTGTTTTTGGCAGGCAGTGTGCTCTGGGTGCTGTTGCCTTCAGAAATGGCAGGCTTGGGGAGGGGAGGGGGGACACCAGAACCTAACGGGTGAGTTTGAGTTGCTGGGGATGATGTTGGGAAGGAGGATCTGAGATGCAACGTAGACACAGATCTTTGGCTATGCCTTGGGTGAGGAGGCCACGGTGACAGGCTCGGCACTCGTGACTCTAATTGAAGGTAATTGCCTCTTCCAAAGTTTGCTAAAGCCTTTTCAAAGTCCCCTGAAATTAGGGAACATCCACAACGCTGCTCCTTGGGGTTTTCAGCTCGCGTCATCCCTAAGAAGCCCGATTAATTTTTTACCAGCTAATCATCTCTCTTAGGCAGGTTGTCAGCCATGGATCTGTCATCTCTCATCAATAATGGAACAACCTGAGCAGCTCTTTCCCCCTCCAGCCTCCTGCATTATTCACTGCCAGGTCCTCAAACAACAGGGTGTGTGTGTGGCAGGGGGGAGCCAGGGATTTAATTGACGTCCTTTGTAATTACCTGGAGCAAGGTGGATGGGGATGGGGAGGTAGGGCTGGGAGGTGAAAGACAAGAGCAGGCAGGAGGTGAAGGCAAGGTCCAGCGTGGTGTGGATGGGTTTTCTTTGGCTCACTGCTTTGGTGGGATGGCATCTCTCTGTGTCATTCATCTTGGGGGGACTTTGGGACAGCAGGCAGCATCTCTGCCCCAAATGAGGAGAGGATCCCTTGTCCTCTCACTCTTTGCTTTGGCTGTTCTGGTGCTGAGGAGGTCCCAGCCTACAGCCTGGCCCATCAGCACCCCTGGGGAAAGAGCTAAGAATGCACATGGAGGGGTGGATTTGGGCTGCAGGATCACTGAGCCCACCGGTCCTCTCCCAGATGCTGGATGGGGAGATCCTGTCGCTCCCGAGATGGCATCAAGCAGAGCCTGTGATGGTGGCACTGCTGCTGTAATGCTCCTCATTTCCATGGTTCCAGGCAAAAACTGCCACATTTGCATATAAATGGAGGTTTGGGCGTCTGTAAATCCTCATTTTTTGAAGCGAGAAGGCCTAATGGTTGTTTAATCACGTTGGGATGAGGCCCTCAGAGCATTTGCAATCCACCGAGAAGGGCAAGAAGTATCCATGCTGTAGTGTGGGGCTCTCCTCCCTGCTCAGTACTGCAGAGGTAAACTGAGTCATGCAGCTTTCTCTAAAAAAAATACAGCTTCCCTTGAAAACACTAAAGATTCTTTTAAAAACTAAAGGTTCCTTTTTCCCCCCCACCGAGAAGGGCAAGAAGCATCCATGCTGTAGTGTGGGGCTCTCCTCCCTGCTCAGTACTGCAGGGGTAAACTGAGTCATGCAGCTTTCCCTAAAAAAAAAATACAGCTTCCCTTGAAAAAACTAAAGATTCTTTTAAAAACTGAAGGTTCCTTTTTCAGGGCTCTCCTCCCTGCTCAGTACTGCAGGGGTAAACTGAGTCATGCAGCTTTCCCTAAAAAAAAAATACAGCTTCCCTTGAAAAAACTAAAGATTCTTTTAAAAACTGAAGGTTCCTTTTTCAGCCAAGGAGATGCAACGAGCTGGAGGAGCCGAAGTAGTCAGCTGGTCCGTAGGGATGTGGATGCTCAGGATGAGCGTGGAGCTGCTGATCCTCCCACTTCCCACCCAGCTCCAACCTGTCCCCACGTTCCTTCCAGCCCAAATTATAAACCCAGGTGCTTTTTGCATAGGAGAAGACACTCCTGAGCTGCTGCGTGTTCATTGGGCTCCTTTGAGGCTGGGAAAGCGCTTGCAGCAAGGTTGGCAACAGAGCATGGTAGGGACTGAATCTGCTTAATAATAATTAATCATAATATTAATAATAATGCTTAGCACTCGTATGGGGCTTTGGAAAGATGGAGCACCACACGACTGCTGGCTAATCCTCTAGGATTAAGAGTTCCCAGAGGAAAAGGCAGGGGAGCACCCTGGCTCCTCTCCCCCCACATCCTCCCCAGGGATCCTGAGCCGGGGCTGGATGTTCCCAGGGCACCAGGAGGAGGGAAAGCAGCTGGGGCAAACCACCAACATCCCCCAGCACTGGGCAGGACTGGGGCAAAACCAGCTGGTTTTTGCAAAGAGCTGCCTGCAGCAGGAGTAATGCCATCCTGGAATGCACCCAGTGGCACGGGGTACTGTGGGAATGGCCAGGATCCGGTCACGCTGGACCATTCTCTGTCTCCATGGTGACAATTGGCCAAGAGGGACGGGGAGGGTGGCACAGAGCAGACGTGGGTGCAATGCTCAAAACGTGGTCGGTGCCACCTCGCCAGCGCTGCCCGACAGGACGTGTGCTGCCTGCTCATGTGTGAGCGCTGACATTTGGGGTCTGG